TAGGATACTTATTGAATCACTTAAAACCTATCATGCTGAAAAATTTTATTATCAGGGATGACTATTTTATTTTTAAAATTTTATTGCTTCTTATTTGGTTTAAGTAAGATATATACAACAAGCTTTTCAAGATTTTAATAATATTACATTCTTTAGATACATTTCTAAAATAAAGTCCATAAATATAAAACAAATAATTAAGTATCTTTCTATAAATACCGAATCTAAATTCTAGATTGTGAGGGTTTAAAAAAGGCTTATAATAGTGGAGAAAAACACTAAAAGCAAGCCGAAATGAGACAGAGTAGTAAAATCTTGAAAAATAGAGCAGTAAATCCTTCATTCGACCCCTTTTACCATGGATTTTAAAACCAAAACATATAAAGAATTATCTCTTTGCCAACATTGATAACCCCTTATAAAAGAAGAATTAAACCTGATAGTTTTCACTTTAACTTTAATAATTTTTAGTTGAAATAATTGAAGACCTAGCTTTAATATAAACTTTTTTGTATTCTTGTAATTAGAAAAGAAACTTGAAAAAGTTAAATAATTGACTATATAAACTTGACAATGCAAAATAAAATTAACCTTAAAACTTCAAAGGCAATCCAATTAAATTGATCCATGCCTAGTGAGGTAGCTAGCATGCAATAAGCTTAAATCCTTGGCAATACTGATTTCACTAAGCATCAATCACAATTTTAGACCTTAATTTATATGATAAATTATTTTATTATTAATGTTATTATTGTAAGTCTTAATTATGAAAATTTTAAAACAACTTGTTTTAAATTAAATTGAGTTTCTAAAAACACACAATATAGACATTAAGTCTTGTCATGTGAAACCTATCTTAAAAACAATCTAATAATTTAAAAGAAAAAACAAAACAATCATGAAATATTTTTTTTTCTTTTTGCTTCTTATATATTTTCTTCATTATTTAACAACAGCATGGATTATATTTTATTATAACATTAAAGCTTCAAAGACCCAGATTTACCAAATGGGTTTTAGCCTCCTTTTGGGATTCGGCACAAGGCACATTACAGTCTTTTTACAAGTCCAATCCAATATATGAACCCTAAGCTCTAAATCAATTAAAAATAAATTTCAAATAAGTTGTGGTTGAATGATGTGTTGTGTAAGCTAGACCTACAAATTAGGGTTAATCAAGTAGGCATTTTAATATGAATGTGTTTTTGATGATCTTTGAGGCTATAACAACGTTCATTCAACCAAAAAGCACCTGTTTTATAATTGTATTTTTATTAAATTAAATATTTATATTATAATAATATTTTATTTTTAATCAATTATTATTACATTTTAATTTTATATTGACCAGGTTGACATTTTTGATCGAATAAATATGGAATCAATGATTTATATGGAATCAATGATTTATAAATTGAGTAAAAATGAATCTAATATAATATTGTGCATCCTCTCTATCAAGTTTAATTTCAATTAGTTTTAGATAACATTGAAGATTATCTTCCTCTAATAAAGTTATGAAAATAATTAACCCAATTAACCATAAACAAGATATTTATTTATACAAAATCATTTAACTTTTTTCATGTATTCATATTTAAAAATTCTCAAATGGTTTTTATTAAATGCATATAATACTTCATTCATCCAAATGCTTGTTGAATTTTATTAGCCATGTAACTTTAAACGAGGATTTCTTTTCCAGAACAATTTAGATTTAAGGTTAATATAAATAGATAATCTAATTATCAATTAACCAACTCAATTTAATAGTTTAAATTATTATGTGAGGTCTTAATATATGATTTATATTATTCTTTAAAATATTCTTTCAAGTGAAAGATTTTTGAGTTTGAAACTTGTTGTATCCAACATCGCGGCAGCCTTAAAAATATCTTTTATGGAAAAAATGGATTTCTAACATCTTATTTTTTGATGAAAAATGATCTTATTTAAAGAGTTGTCACATAATATTATGGTCACTCAGAATCATAACTGATCAGTAGAGATTTTATAATACGGGACTTGTTACTTAAAAATAAAGATATTATTACCTCTTAAACGCTTTGTCTGAAATAAACTGTATCGCTGGTTATGTCTTAAATTACTAAATATTTATTAGTTTATATTAACATTTAAATACAAATATTTTTAACTTTGGTATTGATAAATATTACATGACTATAAAAATAAATTTAAATAGATATCTTTATTTTTTATTTTAGTGTTAGTAAATAAACTAAAATAAATTTATATATATATTAAATTAAATTAAATTCAATCCATATAACACCCAACAGGCCAAATTAAATTTAATTCAATCCATATAACACCCAACAGGCCTAGTGAAGAGACAGGCTTGACCTGGCTGGCAATTGCTTTTTACCTCCAAGCATGCGTGAACTGTTCGTATACGCCTGCTACAGCAACATGTAATTAAAATGCAGGGAGGGAGAACGCAGCTTACCTGTTGTTGCACTCGAAGATGAAGATGACGATGATGGAGCGCTGGCCAAGTGATGCTATTTTCTCCTCCACTGTTTTCCTCTTGCTCTTCCTCTAGTCTTCTTCCTCTCTGCCTTCTTTTTACTTTTATGGGCTCTTTCCTCTTCTCTGGTCTCTCTCCCTCTCTCTCTACTGTTTGTTCTTTTTTTCCCCCTGGTTTCTTGGTTCTCTTTCTGTGTTTTCTATCCTCTTTTGTTCAATGTGTGTTTCCTCCTCCCTGGTCTTTGTTTTTCTTTTCCTCTGTGTTCACTCCCTGGTTCTCAGTTTTTTTACTTGACCGTCTTCTCCCCTTTGTTATGTCCTCCACTTCATGCTTTGTTTTTTGTTCTTTTTCGTTCCTCTATCCTCTCTGTTTCCTGGTTTTTTTTCGGTGTTCTCCCGTCTTTTTCTCCTGTTTTTCTTCTCCGTTCGTCCTCCCTGACTCTCCTCCTTCGTCTGCGTATTTGTTCCTCTGTGTTCATTATGGTCTTCCGCTTGTCATCCCCTGGCCTCTTTCCCTGTTTGCCTTTCTTCCTCCACAGTTTCCTTTGTCCCCCTTCTGGTTTTTTTTTTGTTTCTTCCATCCCATTCTTTCTCTGTTTATTCTTTCCTTTCTTTGTTCGTTTTTTTTCTCCTCCTGCTTCTCCCGCTCGTCCCTCTCTGCCAGTTCTGTTAGGATGATGGCATGCAAACCCGACAAGATAAAAGATAAGAGACAGGATAAAATCAGAAATGGAACACACAAGAATTTACGTGGTTCACCCAATTTGGGCTACGTCCACAGACAAGTATAGAAGGATTTTACTAAGTAATATGGGACTTACAACCTCTCTCGAATAATAGGAGAACAACTAAGAATCTCTCTATTATTAGGAGAAAACACCTCACTTACTCTATCACAAATACCTCACAATTTTGTGGGATTACTCTCTCTTCA